GCCACAAAAGTGGGTACTCCGCAGGGTCATGACGTCTCACGCCGGGACACACGGGAAGGTGCGGGTGGCCGACGTCGCTACGAGTAGTGGCAATCTACGCAGGGCGATTCATCGGCTGGCGCAGATGCTGCTTTAGATTAAGATAGTTTAAGATAAATATTTGAATTTTAGTTTAGGGCGAAAAGAGAGCGCGAGAGCGGCCGTTTGCGGACGTCGCCTCGCGCCTTTTTTTCCGCCGCCTTAGGCTTAGTTTAGCATGTAAGCTGAATTTGAAGTCAGTTGTAAACTAGAGCTAAATAGAAGCACATTCGTCGCCAAATCATTCGTAATTTCCGTATTAAAGTAGTTAAAAGCAAGCGTCCCATTTTTCTTTGTTTTTAACAAATTATATAAATCATATAAAGTTTCACTTTTATTATTCCTCTTCATAAAAAGAAATTGCAAAGTTGTATGCCATACCGAAATTATTTGAAAAAATAGTTTGCAGCACTTTGCAGCACCTCTGTAAATCTGTCATATCTCGGGCTCAACATGGTTTTATAAAGAGACCGTCTACTACGACCAATTTGCTGGAATTTACTTCCTTGGTAAATGAAGCATTTACTCTAAAAATGCAGACTTGTGAACCATGATCTTCTGCTCTTTAAGCCAAGTCGTATAGGATTTCCCTCCGCATTTTTATGTTGGATTCCATCTTATCTAAAAGACAGACGGATCTTGCTTAGGTCGCACATTTCTAAGCCCGTGTTTGCATCATCAGGTGTGCCTCAAGGTAGCCATCTTGGCCCCTTACTTTTTACATTATTTATTAATGACCTCCCCTCTACTTTGTCACACTCTCATATTCTTATGTATGCTGATGATGTGAAACTTATTCTGACTTACAAAGACCCTTCTCATTTTCATCGCCTGCAGGATGATCTGAACTACATGCAATCTTGGTGCTTAGCTAACCACTTGCACCTCAATTGCTCTAAATGTGCCATTGCAACATTATCGACTGTTGTAAACTTTGGGGTTATTTTTCATTCCAAATTGAACTTTAACCTTCACATATCTAGTATTGTCAATAAGGCGAAGGGAATACTTGGATTCATTAAACGTTGGTCCAAGGAATTTAATGACCCTTATACCACTACTGCTCATGCGTTTGGTCTCCGCAGTATAGGAAGCATCAGGAATGTATTGAGTCTGTTCAGAAGCAATTCCTTCTGGCTGGGATCCCAATCTCTGCTTGCCATCGTACTCTAGTAGACTGATGCTTATAAACCTTCCTTCCTTAGTAAATCGTAGGACGGTTCTTGGAGTGGTTTTTCTCCACAAGTTGGTAATCGGCAGAGGATTCCTCTGCCCTATTAGGTCGCCTTAATTTTTCAGTTCCTTTTAGACCAACAAGGAATTATTTGCCGTTCATATTGGCAAGATGCACAACTGATTACGCTTTGCACTATCGTTTTCGGGTCATGTGCAGCCAATATAATTTACTTTCGACAGGACAGCGGCAGTTTGGTAGATGCGTCAATCTTTCGTTCATCGGGCATCAACCAGTGAACGCAAATTCCACGTGTCGCTGCCAATAGTCCCCTACAGCGTGCATCGAGCCCTTTTGATCGCAAGGTCCCGCAACTTACAAATTTTCTTGTAAGTGATTCTGGACACCTGAGCATTACCTCAGCTGGAAACATAACTTCTTTACAATGTATTGCCAATATAATGATCTTTCACATTTACTTTCGACAGGACTCTCTCTCTTCTATCAAAATTATTCTGTATAATTATCTTCGGGGAAATCTCTGACCACTTACTGCTGTGAGTTGGCGCATAGCTTGCCAGGCTGGCATTTAAATTTTTCTCTCTTTCCACCTTTCTCTTTCCCGGTTTCTCTATCTCTCTTTCCATCTTTCTTTTTATACCCTGTACCCGTAGGGTAAAAAGGGTATATTAGGTTTGTGCAAAGTATGTAACATACAGAAGGAAGCATCTCCGACCCCATAAAGTATATATATTCTTGATCTGCATGACGAGAGAAATCTAGACATGTCCGTCCGTCCGTCCGTCTGTCCGTCCGTATGAACACCTGGATCTCAGAGACTATAAGAGATAGAGACACCAAATTTTCCACAAAGATGCCTTATGTGTGTATTCAATTCGAGTTTGTTTTATTTTTTTGATTTCGATTTGTCGCGATTTTCTCTAACTCCCGTAATTCTTGGAATTTCTAACTAAAATTTTGGAAATTCCCAGTTAGTTATTATGTGTCCGTATGCCAAGTTTCACTATGATAGACCGATTTAACGAGAAGTTATAGCCATAAATATATTTGCTGCTGCAGCGCTGCTCAAGCTCTTCCCTCGGCTGTTGATGCTGGTGCTTTGGTTGACTGCACATATGTTTACACAGACACGAATAGATGCGCATAGGCATACATACTTTCACACAGACACAATTGCTATGTAAATGTGCAATTATAAACCCTTTACGTGAGTTCGAATACCGAGAGAGGTAAAATCGATCAAAATTTGTTTTTTATTTTCTTTAATTATTGTAAACCAATTATTGTAAACCTAGCTTTTTTACTTGTTTAATTTTCATCACGTCATCAATCTATATATATAAAACAGTTTGTCCTGACTGACTGACTGACTGATTGGTGATCAACGCACAGCCCAAACAAGTATCCTTTCAGTCTAGGTGTCCACTAAGAAGGGATTTTGGAAAACTCGAGCTCCAAAGGGGGGAAAACAGGCTCCAACGTTTATATGAAAAATCTACAGTTTTCATCTGTATATGTATGTAGCATATACATAAAAAACAACAACAACAACTTCAAGTTGTTGGCTCGCACATCTCCTTTTGTTTTGATCATTTACGCCTGTTAATTGCAAAGGCAAAATGAATAGAAGAAAAGCTGTCTACTCGGTTTTTCACCATTTTTCCTGGGGAATGAAAAATGGGGGGTTTTCCGTGGAAAAATTGAAACACAATCAACACCCCACACCCCATACGGTAAAAGTAAGGAAACTGAAATGTAGGCTCAAGTATCCTGTCATAATGTAGGTGCTCACTAAGAAGGGCTTTTGGAAAATTCGAGCTCCAAAGGGGGGAAAAGTAGCTCCAAAGTTTGTTTGAAAAATCCGCATTTTTCAACCGATCGACTTAAAACTTAGTTTCTAAAATCAATTAAAGAATACAAAGAAAACTGCATACTCGGTTTTTAATTTTTTTTTTTGGAGCTTGAATTATTGGGGTTTTCTTGGGGCACAAAAGGAAACCGCGTCAACAGCCCAAACGGTAAAAGCTAGGATGCTGAAATTTGGGCTCAAGTATCCTATCATGATGTAGATGCGCACTAAGAAGGGATTTTGGAAAACTCGAGCTCCAAATGGGGGAAAACAGGCTCCAACGTTTGTATGAAAAATCTGCAGTTTCTGATTAACTTTAAACTCTGTATACTCTCAGAACAATTCCAAGAAAAACTGTATACTTGGTTTTTTGATATTTTTTTTGGGGCCTAAAATATGGGAGTTTTCCTGTAAAAAAAAAGTTGGGGCACAAGAGGAAACCGCGTCAACAGCCCACAGCCCAAACGGTAAAAGCTAGGATGCTGAAATTTGGGCTCAAGTATCCTATCATGGTGTAGATGCGCACTATTGGAAAATTCGAGCTCCAAAAGGGGGAAAAGTAGCTCCAAATTTTGTTTCAAAAATCCGCATTTTTCAACCGATCAACTTAAACTTAGTTTCTAAAATCAATTAAAGAATACAAAGAAAACTGCAAACAACAGTTCATGTCTATGTGTGCGGTTCTCTACGTACGGTTGTACATATGTATGTATGCCTGTGTATGAATATAGCATGTATGTACATTCGTATTAATGTATACATTGGGCAATCGAACACAGTTGTTTGATTGTAAAAAAAATAATGCTCTAAAAACAACAACAACTGCAAGTCATTGGCTCGCTCTTCTTCTTTCGTTTTGACCATTTAATGTTAATTGCAAAGGCAAAACGCCAAAAGTTTACAGTTACCATCGCTAGGCAACGGTTGCGTAAGCGATAGTAAAGCAGAAACCGAATAACGGAGCTACGCATATTCTGCTTCGCATTGCTGGCAGATGTACGTATGTATATGATTTGTTCTTATTGATCTCAATAAATAATTCGATTTTATTATTTAAGTATTCTCCTTATTGCATTCAAACTTCAATATTTAGATTGTAGAGGAAAATTCTAGCTCCAAAGGGGGGAAAACGAGCTTTAAAAAATATTAGTTATAGTGGTCATGTTCGTTTAACGAAATAGTTTGTCAAGAACAAAAATGTAACGGACTACTGAACAATTTTTTGTCAAGAACAGAAATTGTTCATTTAAATACCTTAAATGCCTTCCTACTGGTAACTTATAAGATGAAAACATATGGGTAGGTTATGCACACACAAAATAAATACAATTGGAAACATTATATTAAGCCGGGCTAAGACGGGCAATACGTGCAAGTCATATATATAAAAAATAAATAATTAAAGCGTTTAATTTTCGATCCGACATTTTTATACCCTGTATATACCCTGTAAAGGGTATATTAGTTTTGTGCAGGAATGTACATGTAACACACAGAAGGAGGCATGGCAGACCCCACAAAGTATATATATTCTTGATCAGGGCCACAAAACGAGTCGCTATAGCCATGTCCGTCTGTCTGTATGACAGAAAGTATAAGTGGTCGAATAACCAAACTTGGTATGCAGATTCTCCTACGCCCGAGATAGGGGAAGTGTGTTCATTTTTTTTTTTTGTTTGCTTCTGCTAGAGGCGCATATACCTCATTGTCGGAAGTTTACAGGGTATTTCATTGTCTGGCTTGCTCGACTGTAGCGTTCTCTCTTGTTTTAATGTATTTACAATATTTATTTATCTACACATATGTGCAGATTATTTCAATATTGGGACACCCGACATCCGCTTCTCCACTTGTTTATCTAATATATTATATGTATAGTTTTTCTAGTTTGACAAACTACTTCATACCTGATGATGGAGATTTACAGTCTTATATAGACCAAATTCAAATGCTGCCAAATTTCGACAAACCAGAAGCTTTTGGCCAACATCCAAATGCTGACATAGCATCCCTCATAGGAGAAACGCGGATGCTCTTCGAGACCCTGCTTTCCATGCAAGCGCAAACTTCGAGTGGTGGAACCGCTGAGAATGCCGAAGCGAAGGTTTTGGACTTAGCCAAAGATATCATGTTGGGTATGCCTGATGAGATTAATTACGAACAAACAGCTAAAATTATCGGAATCAACCGTACACCATTGGAAGTAGTTTTGTTGCAGGAGATTGAACGCTATAATGCTCTTATAGATAACATGCGTGCACACTTAATCGATTTAAGACGTGGAATACAGGGTCTTGTAGTTATGAGTTCTGACTTGGAAGAAATTTACTTGGCCGTGTATGAAGGTCGCGTACCTTTACAATGGCTGAAATGTGAGTAGAGATTAAAATAAGATTGCATTTTTTATTTGCTTGTATTTATTTTGTTTTACAGCTTATAATTCTCTTAAGCCATTAGCAGCTTGGGCACGTGATCTTAATTTACGAGTAGGACACTTTAATATCTGGGCTAAAACACTACGTCCTCCCAGTCTATTTTGGTTAGCAGCATATACATTTCCCACTGGCTTTCTTACGGCAGTTCTGCAAACTGCAGCTCGCACAACAAAGACTCCTATCGATGAACTCTCTTGGGAATTTTATGTATTTATCGAAGAAGACGCTGCTGCCGCTCGTATTATACGCGAAGGTGGTGGCGTCTATATACGTAATTTATTTCTAGAGGGAGCTGGCTGGTTACGTAAAAATCAATGTTTGCAAGATCCGTTGCCCATGGAATTAATTTGTCCATTGCCAGTAATACATTTCAAACCAGTAGATAATTTAAAAAAACGAATACGAGGCGTATATCAGTGTCCTGCATACTACTATCCGGTACGGTCGGGATCATTTATCATAGCAATAGATTTAAGGTCAGGAACTGAAAAGGCAGATTATTGGATAAAGCGAGGAACGGCGATTTTATTAAGCTTACCAGCTTAATATATGTATTTCAATTTAAAATTTTTTGAAATATATCTTTAACGATGTTCAATAGTAATTTGTTTATAACAATGTGGTGTACTATTTAAATAGACATTTAAACAAAAGGAGAAGCTAAAGTCGGATGTGCCGTATGTGTACTCTGTACACAGAATAATTATGCGTGTTTGTTTGGGTTTGTGTGTGTCTGTGTATGTTTCGTGTGCCTATGCAAAGCAGCAACAACAGCTGTGGGCAGTTATTGGGCAAGATGATATATATGGCTATAACTTCCTGTTACACCAGCCTATCATAATGAACTGTGGCACACGAACTCATAATCACCAACTGGGCAGATTTTCCGATTTTAAATGAAAAATTCCAAGAAATACGGGAGTTATGGAAAATCACTAATTGCATAATACACTTTTTTTACGAATTCACAAAGTGCATCTTGGACACAAATACAAGTAGATCATGCTGATCAGAAATATATACATATACTTTGTGGGGTTTGCCTCGCCTCCTTCTGCTTGGATAAAGAATATATATTCTTGGTAAAGAGTGAAATATACCTGTATGTTACCTCTTTTATCCTTTGTAATGTTTTCCTTAAGGTAAAAGGATACTTATATTAAAAATTCAGTTTCCTATCCCACAGAAAAACAAGAGAGAACGCTACAGTCGAGCAAGCCCGACAGTGTAATACCCTGTACCCAGGTAAACTTCCGTCACTGAGTTAGATGCGCCCATAGCAGCAGGAAAAAGAGGAAGAAGAAGAGCGAACTTGTTGCTGCAGTTTGGGGGGGTTGTACTGCCGAGAATTTGTTTCACTAATAACTTTTCTTAGAATTGACCGAATTGAATAAAATTTTGAACAACAGTAGACAATGATATATAAATTATGTGTTTAGTCGTAGTTTGGTTTAAGTAGCATTTGAAATGTGGACGCTATTGACGAAATTCTGCAGCGGGGGAAGGGGGGGAAAATTAAAAAAAAATAAATAAACTCGTCCTTACTCGGACCTAGGAGAATCTGGATGCCAACTTTGGTCATTCTAGCTTTTATAGTTTCTGAGATCCTCGCGTTCATCCAGATGGACAGACGGACGGACAGACGGACGGACATGTCTAGATCGATTTCTCTCGTCATGCTGATCAAGAATATATATACTTTATGGGGTCGGAGATGCTTCCTTCTGTATGTTACATACTTTGCACAAACCTAATATACCCTTTTTACCCTACGGGTACAGGGTATAAAAATTTAAAAAATTATGAAAATAAAAAAAAAAATTTTTGATCGATATTACCTCCCTCGGTATTCGAACTCACGTAAAGAGTGTATAATTGCATAATATTACGGGTGCTCTTGGAATTCTTGGAATTTCGAATTCAAATTTTTCAAATACCTCCGTTAGTAATTATGTGTCCGTATGCCAAGTTTCATTATGATAGACCGACTTAACAGGAATATTTAGCAATAAATATATTTGCTGCTGTTGTTGATGCTGATGCTTTGGTTGACTGTAAACATGCTTACATAGACACGAATAGACGCGCATAGACATACATACACTCACATAGACGCAATTGCTTTGAAAATGTGCAATTATACACCCTTTACGTGAGTTCGAATACCAAGAAAGGTAAAATCGATCAAAATTTTTTTTTTTAATTTTCGGAATTTTTTTTTATTTTCTATAATTATTGTAAACATATGTACAGAGTATTTCAAAGTCGGGACAATTTAGCTTTTTTACTTGTTTCAAATAATTTAGGTATGGCAGAAAGTTTAGCAATGCCTCTTTCTTTCTTTCCAAAAAGCAGGAAAGATTCCGCTCTCAAGGGACAGTTTAAAAAGCTTAAGCAACGGTTCGCAGAGGGAAGTACTACACTCTTTTAGCACACAACTAGGAATGTTGTCAGGCCCAGGAAAGAATGAAGCTTTTATAGATTGTATATTAGATAAAATACAAGAATCTGTAATTATTGGAGCAAATATAGAATTTGAGTGAAGGGATGCGGAAGGGTTAAGAATTAAGATTAAAGAAAGGAAAAAAAATGCAAATAATTCGGCACTTACAGAATCAATACAAGAATTTTTATTAGCAAAGAAAAATGACTATGGCAAAGTCGAAGATTTCCGCTTAAAATTTACGAAGTTATAGAATTTTTTAGAGTCATGTAACACAAAGAAGAAAATTAGATTTTGGAATACAATATTTAAAGAAGTCAACACCTAAGCCTGACTGCTTGAACTTTTTGAAACATCTGGATTTTATGTTTTTTAGGTTAGAAAGTCTACGCGTAAACCATGGAGGCTTAAGAGAAGAAAATGATGCGACGCTATTGGGAATACAGACATCGAAGATAGAATACATGGTGTCATAAAAAAATGTTGATGCAACATCTGTATCGACGGAGCTATACAAGAAAGACCACTTAGCATTGGAAATCAAACGGTTAAGCATAACAAAATCACATTTGCGAAAGCATTTGCGAGGCATGTTACACTCAGAAGACCATGCACTAGATCTAGAAAAGGGAACACAAATTTCTAGAGTAGGATGATAAATATCTTCAGGCAGTGTTAAAGGAGAAGGTCTGGAAACAACAACATTAGTGATATCATTAACGTACACCAAATCGAGATACCTTCGAAGGTGATTGTATATTGGATTAATTTGAACTAAAGAGGGTTGAAGAAGGCAATCTAAAAACACATGCTGTGACAAAGGAATAAGGTGAGGGGAACTATTAAATAATGAACAAGGAATGCTTGGTAAATTAAAATTCTCCACCATAACAATCAAATCATTATCACGCCGGCGGGAACATACCTCTCTGATACAAGTAATATGGAGCATATAAACTTCAAGATCAGAAGAAGGAGGAATATAGGAGCAAGTGATATATAGAAGAAGAAGATGTTGCCGTAACGCAAATAAATTCTAGTTCTTCCGGTATATTAAGGTTGACAATTTTCGACTGGATTGTGGTTTTAACTGCAATCAGTACACCACCCCCAAGGCGAACAGGTCTATCACGTCTATAGATTATAAAGCTATTCGACAAACTTTCAAAGTCAGATATGGTAGAATTTAGCCACGTCTCTGACAATGCAATTATATGAAATTCAGACAAAAAGCTAAGAGAGAGAGTTGTTGTCTGTGAAAGACGTGTTTTTCTTCAGCTCTGTGTTTTTTATTACTTTTTGCCTTTTCAAGCAGCTTTTAATTTGTAATTATTGTTTTACACTAAAGTTAATGTCTATTTGGCCCGTATTGTGCTCAGTTTAGTGGTTGTGCATTTAACAGGTATTTATTTTATAATTTTTATAGTGTCGGCGTCAGTGCATTGTATTTTGTTTTTGCAATTATTTTGCATATTGCTTTTAAGCAGCTCCCTTTGCGTGCATAAGGTTTGTGTGAGTGGTCGCGGCAGCCCTCTCATTGTGCACTTTGCTCTTACTCAGCCTTCTGTTGTTGTTTGTGTTTGCTGTTTTTCGCATTACCTAGAAGCTCATCTTAATGCCGCTCAGTTTCTTTGCTCAATTTTTGCTTACAGCATTCTTCTTAAGCTTTGCGCCAACTACGTTATTTAGATCATTCATCCTTATATTTATTCTGCCCACAATGTTTTGCTGCAACAAGTCTTGCACAGTTAAAGATGCAATTGATTCTGATCAACTTCGCTTTGTTGGTTGTGCGAGAACTTTATGCATATTAAATGTGCAGGATTAAGTGGGCGTGACCTCGACAAAGTTTACTCACCTAAAAAAGGCTGTGGTGGTTTGAGGTGGTCATGCCCTGTATGCATTAACATCCAATTTAATTTCTCGCGTATGTATAATAATATGCGAAATAAATTTTTAAAATTGCAAAAGTTAACTAAGCAACTTTCAACTGAGTTCGACTCTGGAGAACAGTTGCTAAGTCAATATAAGTTTGTGTCTCCGCCCAAACGTAGTTTAGAGCCTCAAGGTACCGCCTTGCTCGGTGCCGTCAACCTAAATACGCCCAAGTTCTCCAGTAGATCTTGATCTATCGCCAACAATATCGTTGTCTGCTTCCCCTGGAAATATGTTTGAAATTTCCCCTGGGCCTTCTCCTGCTCAGGCCACCTTAGCCCCTTTGATTGAACCTCCTGCAGTAAGCAAGATAGTAGTGGCCTCGAAAGATTCTAAGAAAGCTTCCTCCATAAAATTTTCTGCAGTTTCCCCCGCAGTCTCATCACGTGCTGCAGATTGTGCGTCAATTGCTGCTCTGCCTCAGCCCCCGGCTCTTATTGCTATACTATAGCTCCCAGAAGACAAGTTTTTGTATCAAGATTATCTTACGATACCACTTGTGAATCTATAGCAGCCAATATTGCCAGTAAATCGACGGCTAGTGTATCTATTTCGAAGTTCAGTTTTGCTGAGCCCCGTGAAATAGCCTCGTTTAAAATAAGTGTTCCGCCTGAGGCTTTTACAATTATTTGTGACCCAAAATTTTGGCCTCCACATATGATTGTCCATGAGTTTAGGCAGAAAAAACGAGTTTCGTCACTGCCTGTTGATTTACAGTCTAGTACTCTTTCTTCGAAACCAACGTCAAGTATGGCTTCAAAAAAAACAAGTAAAAATAAAAAAAAATTCAATGATCGATTTTACCTTTCTCGGTATTCGAACTCACGTAAAGGGTGTATAATTGCACATTTACATAGCAATTGCGTCTGTGTGAGTATATGTATGCCTATGCGCATCTATTTGTGTCTGTGTAAGCATTTTCGCAGTCAACCAAACAGCAACATCAACAACAGCAGCGGGCAGCGCTTGAGCAGCTCTGCATCAGCCAATATATTTCTGGCTATAACTTCTTGGTAAATCGGTCTATCATAGTGAAACTTGGCAAACGGACACATAATAACCAACTGGGGGTATTTCCAAAATTTTAGTTCGAAATTCCAAGAATTACGGGAGTTAGAAAAAATTCGCATTTGCGGTGGAGAGGGAGGGAAATTCCAAAATATACATT